AAAGTTGAACCCAATCCTCATAGATGTCAAAATATAACAACAAAGATAAACAACATAATAAACGAAAAGGAAGTAAAGCAAATATATAAAAGCTATTACGAATTTGTACAAATAATTAAAACAGGCTTGACTCTCTAAATTCCCTAGCGGAGTCGCCATCTGTAACGACCCGAAATTTAAAGAATTAAAATAAATGGAGTCGCCACCAATTTTATTTACTTTGAAAAATTGGAAAACCTTTTATTGCAAACTGGTCTTTAAAATTATAGATCAAAGGTTCGGGAGTCTAATTATGCTCAAGGAAGGGTGAAAACTTAATCCCACTGCACCCCTGACACATCCGTTTAAAAACGGTTACCTTGAATTAATTGTGCGAGTTATTAATAGCTTTTAAAAATATTTGCTTAATCCCTTTTAAAAAATAATATAATTACTCAGGAAGTGAGGAAACTAAATTATTAAAATTTTATTTTTAGCTTGACGGAAAGAGTTCCGCTCCGACGTATCCTCCGGTACAGTGAGGAATTCAAAGCTACGTCGTTCTTAAGAAAATGCTTGTGTATTGATTGAATTTAATTTTTAAAAATAATTTTGAGGAAAATCATTGGAAAGTTTAGGCTTTGATAATTTGTATCGATTTCAATAATTTTTTTTTATTAGTATAAATTTTATAATATATTTTGAATCACCAAACCGTCACGGCTAAAATGATTCAAAAGAGTATGGGATCGACAAGCCGTCGCGGCTAAATTACCCCCTTTAAATGATTTTAAGGTTAAATTAATATAAAAACAATATATGATAATTTTAATGAGTTACGAATCATCAAGCCGTCACGGTTAAAATGATTCCTAACCAAATACACAGGATTAAACAAAACCGTCACGGCTAAATCACCCTTATGTGTAATTTTAACATTATTATATGTTTTAAAATTGAAATGAAAATATGATAAATTTAATGAGTTTCAGATCATCAAGCCGTCACGGTTAAAATGATCTGGAATGAAACATAAGGGATTGAGAAGCCGTCACGGCTAAATTACCCCTTGTATTGTTATAAAGTTTATGATAAATTCTATTAAATTTTGAACCTTCAGTTATAATCCTTTTATTAAAATAAATTAAATTTTTTTTACCTCCCAAGCTTTATACCAAATAATAACAACAGTGGCGGTATTTAAAACTGAGGTTGACATTGATTTGAACAAATAAATAGCATTAGTCTAATGATCAAAAGAAGAATTTCGGTGACTATTATTTTAAATCAGTAGGCTTGTACAAATTAAACAGCAAACCAATTTTTATAGAAACCTTGTTAAAATGAAATTGCTTTTCACCATTTGTATTTTATGAAAGCATACGTTAATATAAAAAAAACATATTGATAAGAAATCATATATATATATATATATATATATATATATATATATATATATATATATATATATCAATCATAGTGATTATCCTAATAAGAAAAAGAAAATGAGTTTTCTTATTATCTTTGTGTTCAAGTAATGTAACTTCAGATTTTTATTTATATTTATTTACTTAAGCAAAGAAAGAAACCGTCTAGCTGAGGATAAAAGAAAACGCTAAAAACTAAACGTAAGATGAATATTGATGATAAAAGTCTAATCTGAAAGAGAGAAAAAAAATAAAATAAACATAAATATCACTAAAGCCAACGTAAGATAAATGATGAAAAAAAGTCTAATATGATAGAGAAAAGGGAATAAAATAAAAGTAAATATCATTAAAGCCATGTGAACTCAGTTAGTAACACGATACCCCTGCATGACGTGACAAGTAATGAACAGCTGGGAGGTGATAAAAATGTAAGGAAATAAACGATAAAGAAAACAAATAAATCATAAAGATACCTCCTTCCCAACGTCTAACCAAATAAATTCTCCTCTTCTTTTGAATACTGGAGATAGAGGTATGCCAATAGATGGGTACAACAAAATAGTGATGAGGTTTTGTGTAGATGATAGTGCAGCAAGAAATAGGAGCTATCACGCAGTGACCGGTAAATGGTGACCGATGGGGCTCGCAGCGGCGTAGCTTTCCGGCGACACAGATCGATGGCACAAGGGAGACGACAACTTTGGTGCAGTTGACGTCTTGTGGCAGTGTGGGTTTCTGGTGTCTTCCCACCCCTTTTCTCTATGGTGTTTCTCCTGTGATGTCTTCTCTAAATTTTTTGTTTTCTAACTTATGGAAGCTCCCTTTCTCCTTCTGATGGTGTTTTTCTTTCAATACCTTTCACTACCATGGACTACAAACTCTTACTCCGATTTCATCTTTTCCTTTGCATGCTCTCTCCTTTTTTTTTCCTTTTTCTCCTATCTCTTTTTTTGAACACCCAGAATCCCTTTTATATAAAGAACGATTTTTGTTCTCTTCTTATCGCCTCTTTCTCCTTTTTTTTTTGTCGTTGTTGCTAGCAGCACCCTCCCTCTTTTGTATTTCCTGTGCCACGCTTGTAAAATTTGTGTTGAAGCCTTTATCTTTTTCTCCTACTTTCTTGTCATGGCTTATTTAGGCTAAAACCCAAATCAACTCTGATTATTTTTCTCTCGGCGTACAGACAACTCTGATCCTCTTGTTGTATATGCAAGTAAGGTGTTTGTCTTCTTCAACAGAGGTGTCGACAGAGGAAACTTGTAGCCATCTTTACTGAACATGTATTTTTCAACTTTCTGAAATTTCCTTTCTTGTGTTTATTACTTTTTCTGGATAAGATAAGGATGTTGTCCATAAGCTGAATTTAGCAATTTTTACGGATGAGATTTACAGCTTTATCAGTGTTGAATTGGACAATTTTCACCACTGTTGCCCCACTATTATTCGGCACTTTACCGACCAACAAATGTCATATAATATTTCTCTATATTTTCCTGTGAATATGCTTGAAATCTATAGTGGAAAACAGATACATAAAATACCCATCGATTAGATTACTTTGGTTTTGTATTTTTTTTTTTTTAAAAAACACACACAGAATAGGAAAAAAAATAAAATAAGAAGAAAAGAAAACTTAGAAGAATGGTAATGGTAGCATGAATACAAAATTTAGATAACAAGGGTACAAATGCTTAAGTATCATCACGTACCAAAAAAACATAGGGTTCAATGAATTTTACTTGAAGAACAAACGAGATAATAATAATAATAATAATTATTATTATTATTATAACAAAAAAATGGTGTTTACACTACGCCTCACTTCCCTGGACCTACTGACACCAGTAAAGTCACTACGAAGAAGATGAAGAATGCCACGGGGAGGATCCCTCCAAAACTGATAAAGTGAAAACTAAATCCTAAGGTATGATTGTATAAAGCCTGATTAAATTTCAATATTATCTAATGTTTGACATGATATTGTATAAGATAGAAGGGAAAAATGAAATAAAATACACGGGTTGACCCGTAATCTACAATGAGTTGTGTCAAAATTTCTTTTTTGTTTTTCTTTTATTTTTGGACAAAAAACTTTTGAGGGTTGACACGCGCTCCTGACACGATAATAATTTGTGTTATTTACCCAAACTCATACATAACTTATTTTATCCCACATATTGACATGATCCACAGTTTAAGCGGTCATGTTGTGGGTTGATTATTGTATATAAGTAAATAGATTTAAAATTAATATAATTTAATCTTTTATTTCACAATATTCTAGTAAAAAAGCCGTCGCTAAATGAAAGACCTATCTTTCATATAAGACCGTCTTATCCTCACGCCAGAATAATTAAAAGGGAAAAGTTATATTTATAATTTTTTCGTTTACAATCTCTTACAACCAAAGCTTAATCATTGATCTCTGTCAATCTTACGGTTATAATTTATTGGATTACACTTATTAATTAATTATGAACTTTCAATAAATTATAACCGTTAGATTGACAGAAATTAACAATTAAGATTTGGTTGTAAAAGTTTATAAATGATAAAAGTTATAAGTCTAACATTTCCCTAATTAAAAACTTTTGAATTTAATTGTCTTTCGACTCTTTACGCAATTAAGAAATAAATTATAATATTTACAATTTATAAAAAATGATTGAAATAAATTTTATGTTTATAATATATCAAATATGTATCGAATTCTTGACCATTTCCTGACATCAATTTGATACATAACTTTTTAATATTTATAATAACATAAATGTTAAAATCGAATATTTTAATTTTATACAACCTAATAAGATAAATTATGTTAAATTTCTTTTTACTTTTCTCATACATTGAAACATGAAAATATTTGTATCACAAGTATTTTCAACGAAAATAAATGGTAAATTAATCAATTATTTAATTTTTATTACTTAATATATTAAACGATTTGTTTCACAGTAAATTGAAGCCCACAGTTAATGTTAATTTCTTTTATGGATATATGAATAATTTTAGAGTTGATTATTTTATGAAATTTGAGTTATTTTATATTGTTTTTTATTTTTTTATTTATCTTACCAGTTTTCTTTTTACATATACGAGTACAATTTTTAAATAAAACAGAATTTGTTTAATATTTTTTGGTAATATATATAGATTTTAAAGATTCATCAAATAATCATTATAAAATATTTAATTTTTGAAAATTTCAATTGTGTTCTTGCATAATAAAACTTAAGGTAGAGAACATAAGTCTTATCTAATGATGTCTTATAATTTCTAACAATATTTATTTATGTTATTTTTATGTAGACAAATAATTTGATACTTTATAAAAAAAATCATAAAAAAACCATAAAATTACTTATATTAATCTTATTTTTAAATATAAATAAAATTTTTAGTACATATAAATATAAATTTTTTAAACAAATACACTTCACACTTGTATGAATCTTTCTTCTCCGCATTTTTTTTATCAGATGTGAAATGTCAAACCCCAAATTTAAATGCCCTTGTTAGGAAAACGACACTGCAGGGATAGAGAAACGACCTTATTAGACTTTTTATAAAATATAAAAACGTTGGAGAGGGAGTTTGGAGGGACTGAGTAGCTCAGTGTAATGGGTCGGTGCCGAACCGCGTCGCGCTCCGGTGACGATGATCCGAACCAAAGGTTTGTGGTTGTGATTATGCCATGAGTGCTTCGTTGCTACGGTGAAATTATATTTGTTTAATCTTTATGCAAGGAATCACGTTTTTTGTGTGTGGATATTCTTTCATCTTTTCTTTCCCCCCCTTTCTTATGCGAAAAGATATTGGCAAAAACATATTTAATTAGGAAAAGATCATTGTTGGAAATGAAGTATGTCAAAGGGTTTTCTGTAGAAATTAGGAATTTATGCGTTTTTGGTGTGTTTTCTGTGTAAATTTTATGAAAGAAGCAGTGGAATAGTTGTTCTTGAATGTTTTATGTGGATTTTTGTTTTGGAGCATGTCCTTTGGATGCATTGAAATTGTTCTTGAATGCTTCCTGCTACAAATTTTGTTTAATTACTCTTATATAATATAACGTTGTTTCTTTCTTTGTTTTCTGTTTTTAGATACAAGAGAAAAAAGGCTTCTTTGAATGTGGAGAATTTAGAGACTTTGCCTACTGGTGATTTTTCTTTAACACATTCTTCCCTTCCCTTCCCTTCGAAAAGTTCATTAACGTCTTCTTTGTATCACTGTGATTTTTCTAAATGTGGTAGGCAAAGGAATAACTGATGGCAAGGTATCTCTGTATCACTGTAATTACTGCAACAAAGATATTTCAGGGAAGATTCGCATCAAGTGTGCTGTGTGTCAAGATTTTGATCTCTGCATAGAGTGCTTTTCTGTTGGGGCTGAGGTGACACCTCACAAAAGTAATCATCCATATCGGATTATGGTATGCGACCTTCTTTGCATTGTTCTTTTTTTATATTTATTGTAATTACTTGCACAGAGTTGCATATTCATTTTTTTTCTCTCTAAAATACAGTTGATGTCCTTTATGTTTAAATTTTTTAAAATGGTATTGATTGTAGTCTAGTTCTGCTGAGATCAGGATGCTGGTACTGTGGATGAATGATGAAAGCTTCTGTCCTTCCTTCTTTTGTATCTCTCTTCTTTCCTTCTAATATTTTTTCCTCAAAAAAAGAAAAAGAACAAGCAAGCATAAAATGCTGGATACTGTACGAACCATATTGGTATTAATTCTTTTACTGAATATATATATATATATATATATATATATATATATTTACTGAATACTTTTTTGCTTAACAACAAACCAGATTATTAATTTGGAGAATTATTAGTGCTTGCTTTAATTGTTTGTAAATATTGTGGATTATTGCATAGTGATGCTAGCCTTTTTTTCTAAAGAGACTGTTACAGATTTCTTGTCTGTGCACTAGTCAGCTGTACTTATATATCACTTTTCCCATGAAGGGTGCTTTGCTTAATTCCAAGGATGCACATGAAATTTCTTTGTTTTTTCTTCAGTTTATGTTAATCGAAGGAAGATAAATGCTGACCGAAAGTTCTCAACTCTTTCTTGATATTTATGCTATCATCTTACATGTAGCTTTTTGTTGCTGAAAATAATAAAATTTAGTTGTGAATGAAGTTTCTAGCATAAGAACATCCATGCTTCATGGTTAAGAATGATTTTAGTGTATAAATATAAGTTTCAAAACAAATATTTCTTGTGCAGGATAATCTATCTTTTCCACTTATATGTCCAGACTGGAATGCAGATGAAGAGATGTTACTTCTAGAGGTTTGTGATTTGAGTATGGGGAACTCTTTTGTTTTCTTTTTTCGTTCCCACTATATGTTAAATGATGCCTACTTTTCTACTCTATTGTTTGTTATCAAATTTTGTGTATCTTAACAAATTGGTTTTATTTTAGGGCATTGAAATGTATGGATTTGGGAATTGGAATGAAGTTGCAGAATATGTTGGAACAAAAAGCAAGTATCAATGTATTGACCACTATAATGCTGTATATATGAATTCACCATATTTCCCTCTCCCTGTAAGACTATTTGAGAACTCTGTCATTGATAGTATACATCCAACCAGCATTTGAATGGATGGTGTAATTGTTCACATGCACACCCAGGATTTGTCTCATGTTATGGGAAAGAGCAGAGAGGAACTCCTTGCCATGGCAAAGAGACATGAAGTCAAGAAAGGTTTGTTTCTCAAATGATCTAATTCACAACTTTTGAAGATTTTGTATGCAAGACATGATTACTTTGTTGCATTCCCTGAACTCACATACATAGAATGTAAGTGACCTAGTTGTTGTAATCCGGGTTGCCTATGAATCACTATATTCATGAGAATTTCACAAGTGAGACTATCCCTGTTGAAGTTTCATTTAAATCCATTAGAGTACTTCTAGGCCAAATTGGGACTTACGGTGGCAAACCATAGTATATTGCCCATAGCCTTTTCCTCTATGTTAATGGGAGACCTTACCAGACTCATCTCACAATATAATGACCATAGATCCGTAGCAGAAGATCAATCTTCATGTTATAACCTTTCTGATGCACAAGATCCTTATCTATGGCGAGTGCAAAGCATACTCAGTATGACTATGCTAGAGAGATGATCATAGATTAAACTAGTGGGCTAAGAAAGAGAAGAGAGAATTTTAGAAAGCCATTGGAGAACAACACACTTCTTATTGATGGGTAGGCAAGCTCCTCTTGCCCTTACAAGCTTACAAGGTCACCTATTTATAGGTGAAGAAAGCATAACAAGCCAAACGACATTACATCATTGCTTACATCACACTTCATAATACAATACTCTAGAAAAGTACATTAAGACAAATACTACAAGACAAACTTTATTACCTAAGGGCTTACATCATCATATATCACACACCAACAATCTAACATTGGGCTAATAAACTTCTTAGGCCAAACTAGGTAACTCAAGTCCAAATTGTCTTGATAATGGGCTCATGTCCAGCTAGGTCCATTCTTTCACCGGTTTCTTTGCTTCTCCTTCGTTCTTCTTTCTCAAGGTGAAGCATCAGGAGATATTCTTCAAAATTTTCTTTAGTAATTAGGAAACTTCGAATCTTCTCATCAAATGGGTCTTGATGACAGTCTTCAAAGATGTCTTAGACGAGTTCTTCATCCTTGTTGGCATTCTCTGTATAAGAGCACTCTCTTTGAGAACTGGAAGTCTTAAGGGCTTAATTAAGATGTTCTTGATATTTTATCAGATCTGCACTAAATCGATCTTTGCACCAAGTAGGAAAAGCTTCCCATTGGGTGTCATCTTCCCATTTAGGCCAGTCGTCTTTAGGGATCACTCCATTGAACTTTGCAAAACGCTTTTGAATGCTTCTGATGAAAGGACCATTGTCTGGCTTAAAGGGGTCAAGAAAGGGATCAAAGAGAGGACCTTTTTGACAGTAGATTGTGATAGGATGAAGAAATCCATCATCACAAATCCAACTTTTATGAAGATAAAAGACAAGCACTTGGTTAGGCCTTTTAGAATAATATTCTTTTCCCAAATGACAAAGCGAGAGTTCTTTTCCGATAAATTGGTAGAGAAAGGAGAGAAAGAAGTATTCATGAGAAGTGTCTTCTTTCAACATCTTATTGTAGATAGTTTGAATTGGAATTTCTATGGCAATGTAGTATACGTTGCACAGATGCCACAAGAAGTTTCGGATATCATTGCTAAAGCCTTTTGAAGGATTTAGTCTGAAGAAATGGTAAGGGTATTCAGGATGGATGAGGCCAAGGGACAATAAGTTATCTAGTCCATGAGCTCTATTTATCTTTGAATGATATTCAAAATTTTTGTTCCTAGAGCAGTTTTTCAGTGCCTCAGTGGTTTTGGCTTCTTCAGCTTCAGGAGGGTAATAGTGGTTTGGGAAAGATGGGGCAAGGTTAGAGGACTGCATGGAAGCTATTAAGGGTATTGGCTTCTGGTGAGTAAGGAGATGAAGTGTTGATAGTCTTGAGAGCAAGTTAGGGACCAAGTTCTTATCTCCTTTTATGTGCTCTACCGTGAACTCATATCTACTGAACCAATCGTTTAGTCTGAGCAATTGAGGAGTAGGAAGTAATTTTTCAAGTCCATGATCTTTGGGAAGGATGAATTATCCATTACCACTGTGAACTTGTGACCGATTTCAAATTTCTTAATTCCATATTTAACGACTGAGATTTCTTTATGTGTGGAGTGATAATGGCTTTTGACCTCTGAAAACTTGCCACTTGTAAATCCACACACATGCTTCTTGTTGTCTTTTTCCTCCAAAACGATTGCTCCCCAGAAGCTATCACTAGTGTTAGTATGTAGAATACGCTATCCATCAGTGGGAATTTTGATTGGGGGGAGATTCTGACGAAGTTGCTGAAGTTCTTTTACTGTATCAGTTCGCTTTTGAGACCACTATGGTGGATTCCTTTTTAACATAGCCCTGAAAGGTGAGGTTATTTGGGTAAACTTCGGAATGAAGTCGTTGGCATAATTGCAAACCCCAAGGAATGAGTGGAGTTGCTTAGCTGTAAGGTTCTCATCAGGAAACTTCAATGAGTGGATAGATATTTTCCACCTTTGAAATTCATTCCCAAAAATTCAATTTCATCTTTTGCTACATGTGCCTTTCTTTCCGATAGCATGATTCTATAATTGTTCATAATCTCAAAGAATTGATTTAACAAATCTTTGTGAGATTCTTTTGTCTTTGAATACAATAAAATATCATCAATGTAGATGAGTGTACTGTGGAGAATGGGCTGAAAGATCTGGGCCATTGTTCTTTGGAAAATAGAAGGGGCTGTATGGCATGACGGTCCATTGATAATGGGCATTTGGAATGGAAAAGGCCGTCTTATACCTTTCTTATGGCCGAATACCCAATTGCCAAAAGGCCACCTTTAAGTCAAACTTTGAGAACACATGGGCTTCACTGAACTGAAGAATTAGGCAGGGTCCGTAATCAATTACTAACCTCTTTTTTCCTCGGACTATTTCAGATCTTTTCTTCACATAAAAGGCTTGGCAAACGATGGTGTTGGGAGACAGACACGACAAACACCCTTCGACGTCAAAAGCTGCTGTGGATTCGTTGCCGATGATTGAGATTGAGGTGAGATACTGATAGGAACTAAACAAATAACAACAAATTTCCCAGAATAATGCTTCTATAAAAGCTTCATTCCAGTGAATACAACAAGGTTCAACAAGATTAAATCGAGCTACATGCTATAGTGTTGCTATAGCTCAGATTGTGCAGAAAGAAATAAAGAAAAGTTTAACAGAATGTAAATGGTTCAGGGGCTTTCGAGATGCCCTGAGATCTCCCACTTTGCATAAGCAATTCTCATGACCTCCACGGTACCCATTCCTTCTTCACGTCCCTTTTTATCATCTAACGTCTCATCATGTGTAACAAACTCTCCTAACAAACAAGCTGACTCAGCATGCTCATTAGGCTGTGATACATCAATATTGGGCTTTATTAAGTTGGGCCCTATCAATACTCCCCCCCTAAACATTCACCTTGCCCTCAAGGTGAGGTTTAGCCATCAAGAATCTTATGCCAGGGTCCCATTGCTTGAAATGCAAGGGCCAACTTATTTGCAGCGCATGTTGATGATCTCCTCCAGGATCCCACAATTGAAAATGTAGGAGCCAATTTATGCAAGAAACAAAAGAACTTCCCTCGTAAACACCTTGGCCCATTTTAATCTTGGCAGCATCTACATCAGAATAGACTGGTGAATCAAGAATGCATCTATTATAAATTGACAGCTCTCCATGAATGTATCCACTGCAAACTGATTCTCCAAACAACCTCATTTTATCCATATAAATAATACTTACCAGCATCCCCTGCTCCTGCATGTACAAATGAAGCTTGGACCCCATGTCTACAAAAGTAGATAAAAGAACCACATGATTTCCCGTCTTCAATTCCCTATCAAGCTGAAAAGCCCAACCATATAAAACACTAATATCATTGGATTGGGTTAAAGGTGTTTTAATATTGAATTGGACTTTATTCATCGGGTCAGCAGCTTGGCCCAAAGTGTGCCACACCTCCTCTAACCTAATTTGCTTGTTTAGCATCCTCTCACATGTGTATTGTGGAGTCCAATGACTGCAGCGGCGCAGTAAGTCCTCCCCTCCTTCCCCTTGAAGATTCGCATCTGGTCGTTCAGGCAATGGTGGAAGGTTGACAACCACCGCCGGTGGCTGTGTTGTCGCTGGCAACTGTACATCCAAGACTTTGTTTATAAGCTCTTCACCTACTTTTTCCGCTTCGCTTGGGACGTCATCAACCTCTGCATTGCCCCACTCATCGTCGTCTTCCACTACCAAAATCTGAGGCTGCGCAACCTTGCAGCAATGAGAGAGTCTTCTCCTTTCTGGATAGCCGCTTCCTGACACCCCACTCTCAGCCACCTTTTGATTATTGCTGGTTGAACTTGCTAGGTTTCGTGTAAGGCCAACATTTTCCCCCAAATTGACACTTCTTGAAGCGTTTCCATGCGTGTTGATCTCCACAGCATTAGTCGGGACACATGCGTCATTTCCGGTTGTCTGATTTAAGTGGGTCACGTGACTAACCCCCTGTTTACTGCCTGTGTAACCTGAGTCCACTTCGGTTGGGCTGGTTTGTTCCTTTTGATCCAGCCCATTTCTCACCATTGTGAACGCAAATTTCAACCCCAGCCCATGCTGTGTTTCGTTCCTCTATAGGAGTCGTTTCCTTCATCGTCGTCTCCGTCATTGTCTCTGTCAACATGGGTGGATTTTTCTGCAACAGCTCCGTTCGATAGCTTTCCACGACGTCCACCTTCAAGCTTTTTTTCAAATTTTCGCCTGAGGTGACATGCAAATTAGGATTTGTTCGCATGTCAGCCCCTGTTGCTGTTTGTGTTGCCTTTGTGTTGTCCATCGTTTCCTTCATCAAATCTGGATGAAATCGTTTGAGTAGCGCCGTAACAAATTCCCTCCAAGAGGCTCTCACATATATCCGGCTCCAGCACCACCACCAAGCACTAGCTTGACCTTTCATCAATTTCGCAACCCGAGGAAGCCTCTCTGTTTCCGGTATTTCATACGTTTCAAAGTACTGCTCAAACTTGGTTAGCCATCCATAGGCTTCTTCTCCTTAAAACTATGGTAACTCCAATTTCTTCTCGCGAACCATAGAACTATAAAATTCTCCATCATTACTACAGCTTGGATCTCCCTGTTACCGCTCGGGTCGTCTTCTTCGCGAACCTTTATTTAGCTGAGAAAAGTTATGTAAAATCTCGTCAAGGAGCCTCATTATCTCTGCATGGGTCTCCTCTGCTTTTCTCATCTTCTCCAAACTCTCAAATCTGTTTTCCATATATATATATATATATATATTTATAATAGCTAGGTTCAAAGCACCCAGATCGGAGTGCTCTGATACCAATTGATAGGAACTAAACAAATAACAACAAATTTCCCAGAATAATGCTTCTATAAAAGCTTCATTCCAGTGAATACAACAAGGTTCAACAAGATTAAATCGAGCTACATGCTATAGTGCTGCTATAGCTCAGATTGTGTAGAAAGAAATAAAGAAAAGTTTAACAGAATATAAATGGTTCAGGGGCTTTCGAGATGCCCTGAGATCTCCCACTTTGCATAAGCAATTCTCATGACCTCCACGGTACCCAGTCCTTCTTCACGTCCCTTTTTATCATCTAACGTCTCATCATGTGTAACAAACTCTCCTAACAAACAAGCTGACTCAGCATGCTCATTAGGCTGTGATACATCAGTATTGGGCTTTATTAAGTTGGGCCCTATCAGATACACAACCATGGAATCTCACTGTGCTGCCAACACAACAACCAACTTTTCCCCTCTCTTTCTCCTTGTCATTCTGAGTTTTCTTTTTCCCTTAGATTGCTGAAACGGGTGGATTGTCCGATTCCACCGATTTGACGTGTTTAATCGTTGATCCCAACCGATCTGAAAGAACACAATCTATATCCGATTCAACTTGTTCGAAAGAAAAAAATCGTAAGATCGTACGATGTATCGATTTTCCACGCAATTTTAACAACACTAACAAGGAGACAGAGGATTTGAGTGAGCAGAGTAGGACTAGTCGCGTGATAATTGGAGACTGGGAAGGTCATGAATGGATTTCACTTGCCCACAAGAATGTGATTGGTCGCGTGACAATTGGAGATTGGGAAGGACGTGAATGAATTTCACTTGTTGACAAAGGATCTGCATCAAGGAGTACGAGTTGTTGAAATTATAAGGATTTAGGTAGAGAAGGAAGAAAAAAGTGAACTATCACGAACCATCAGCAGAAATGTATGGCTAGAATGACTCTTAGCTTCAAGAGCTGCTGTGTACACTTGCTGTCAGTACATATCTAATTAGTGTCATTTTAGGGAAGTCTCTTTGCCTTGGTCAAGCAATATTTTAACCAACTCTTCAAGCTGATGGTTATTCTAATTTCCAATCATACATTTCTGCTGATGGTTGTTCCAACCATAAATTTTTGCTGATGATTATTCCATTAATGTCTCTTGTTGCTTGGTCATGCAATATTTTAACCAGATTCTGATACCATGTGCAAAAACATTTATGAAATGCTTGAGGAATTGCTTTGCAGTCCACTCTATTTGTATACAAGGATTTACAATCTCTAATAACAAGTAACTAAATCAAATCAAATAAAAACAACTCCTAAATTAGTTTCTTAATAAACAATCCCTAAATAGGAGATATTATCCAACATAGCCAATTCTAAAAAAAAAAATATTTTCATGTTGTGAACTGATGCTGTTTAGAAATCTGAGGAAAAATTGCAAACCAGTGCTTGGTTTACTACTGTAATTTTTCTTTGGGTCATCTGTAATCCATGCCTGTCTTGTTTTTGAGGGTTGGGGCTCATGCATGCTTTTTAACTCCTTTATTCGTTGGTTGTGTTTTGTGATATCAAGTTTCTAGCAAGTTATTTTACTGATAAAATTATCCTTTCACGTTATTTTATTCATGCAGAACTTCCTCCAACTGCAGAGCTTACTCTGAAAGAAGAATCTCCCTTCTCCGATGGAATAAAGTACACTTCAGTTTACACTGATTACTTAAATTGATCATTTACAACTCTGCTAATTATTTGGTGTGACATCTCAGCTCTGAAGCAGAAACCACTAATCGAACAATGTCTAGGTTAAACTCAGGTACAATCATATAGCTTGACTGTATTTACCATTTTGTTCTGACATTTTATGTTATTGGGCAATAATATAAACATTTTATATGGGTTCAGTTTGTGGAAAAGCTTACTCAAGTACAATTATGAAAGCTTTCGATGTAAGCCATAATGCTGGAGTTAAGGTGGAAGGTATGTTTTCTGAAGCATGCTATGAAAGTCACTGCCCCTTCTTTTTGTGTTTTGAGTTGACATTTCTTTTGATGTATTTGTTGCTTTTAACAGTTATATAAGCATCAGTTTTGGTCCGTAAAAGATTTTCAAAAGCATCAGTTTTGTTCTCAAAATATTATTACATCAATTTTGTTTTCAAAAGTTACTGTTTTCTATTTTTCATCATTTAGATGACCAGAAATTATCATTAGAGAACCAATTTGATGTCAATCATCTTTCGACAATCAAAGTATTGATTGGGTAATCTTTCATGAACCCAAATCAGGGGTTTACTATAATTTCCCATGGAATTCAAACTTTTCAGACTATGGGTAACCAAATCTTATCCGTAGTTACATACACAGGGTAATCCTTTGGGCTTGAAGGTTTCACTTATTAGGTGAAGACATAATAATGATTTTGTATTACGCTTCTCAACCAACTTTTGGCCTTGAAGCTTGATGATGCGGCTGAGGAATTTGTTTAGAATTAAGGTTGGATATTGATGCAACCAGTATTGTATTTGTATTAAATGAAATAATGCATGTTGAGCTCGTTACAAACACCAATCATCAAAACAAAAAATAGTTATGGCTGGAAACAACCAATTACAATCACCAAAACTTTCTTCGTACTCCACAACTGATCCGTCTTGTCGCAAGCACGAGTGCTTCATAGGGGTTCCCCGCTGTTGAAATATGAAAACTTTGCAATAGAACCGCTCTGAATATTTCCCCATCTATGGTGGGATTTTTGGGTTCCTACCATTGAAACCATTGAAGAGCTCATCCCTAAAAGCAAACAGATGCCAACTCCACCTAGTCCTCCTCAGGAATTTGTTACACCCGAAAATATCTCTCTACACGAGAAACCTCTAACCGTCTAAGCTGCTCCTCGTCACTTAGGTTCTTCCATTACGAGAATTTCTTTCACCAGACTCGCCTTCTCGTCCATGATCCACACAATTCAAGTACTCTAGGAGTGTAGCTTGCAATTGGCGAAGCGCCTACTCCAATCCTCCCATCTGAAAAATAAATTTTTCTGCTATACCAAATATTGACCAAATCTAAGCAATGCTTAAACTTGGCCATTGGCAACAGTTTGGTCAACATATCCGCCTTATTATCTTTCATATCAATTATTAAGACCCGAATCTTGCTATCAGCAATAACATCACGAATAAAATGATATCGAACATAACATCAATGTTGTTCATTATCTCATGATACATCAAATCTTAAATCAAATATATGCAGTACAACTATCGAAATAAATGATAGTCACCTTTTAATCTAGGCCCAGTTCACCAAACAAACCTCTTAATCATATTGCTTCTTTCATTGCTTATGCGTTTGTAGGAGACAAAGCAATCAGGTGCTGTTGTGTGGCCTTCCAGTTAACTGCACAACCACCTATTGTAAAAATATACCCCTTCAAACATGGTCAGTTGAGTGCTGATTGCAACAAACGTGGTCAGGCGAGAATGGGCCCTGTTTTTGACACTAACTATTGTTCCTCCTTGTGACCCTTGTGACGATGCATCATGTTCCTGAGGGCCGTGTCTTACTTTGGCAAATTGAAATAGAAGCCCCCATAATTGTACTCAAAGCATTGGGCCAATTCCTTGTATTCCCCGTTGGGTGAAGGATGGCATGAGCGCTGCCTTGACCCATCCCTATTTGACTTGAAAGAGCTGCGACTTGTTCCACCTCCTCCACCCTCTGAGCGAACATCTTATGTTCAATATAAATTGGAGAATGTAGGTACCTCTACACGCGTGTTTTCTCCTTCAACCTGTTCAAGAACGATGCCGTCAGCGTGCCTCAACGAAGCGGAGAGCACCTCAACAATATCTTTGTACTCCACAACTGATCTGTCGTGTCAGAAGTGCAAGAGTGCATCGTATGGGTTCCCCACCATTGAGGTATGAAACCTTTGCAACATAGCTGTTTGGGTAGGTTTGTCGTGCAATGAGATGTTTTCAAGTGTACTATGATTCTTTGAGGGACGATATCTCCAATATTTTCAATGGTGGGAACCTAGAAATCCCACATTGGATTGGAGAATGTTCAGAACTATTATTGAAGAGGTTTCATACTTGAATGGTGGGGAACCCATTTGAAGCACTCATGCACTTGCTACACGACGGATCGGTTGCGGAGTACAAAGAATGTGTCGACATGCTATCCGCTTCATTGAGGCATTTTGATGGTGACGTTCTTGAGCGGGTTGAGGTAGGTAACCCGCGCGTGGAGCTACCTACATTCTCTAGTTGATATAGAATAGATGATGATGTTGGCTCAGAGGGTGGAGGATGTGAAATACTTGGAATCGACCCAATTCTTCGAGTACACCAGAAAACATCTCATTGGACGATAAACCTACTCATACGGATCTTTGCTGAAGAAATAAGGAACCTCTAACCGTCTGAGCTGCTCCTCATCACTTAATGTCCTTCCGTTACGAGAATTCCTTTCACCAGACTCAACTTCTCCTCGTCCCTAATCCACACGATTCAAGTACTCCAGGAGTGTAGCTTACAACCCTTATTCTCATATCTCTCCACTTTTATTACAATGTTCAAGTGGTTTGGCAGTAAAACCGCTTTTGAGTTAGAAGGGAACTGTTCTTAGACAACTTTAAAGTCCTCGCATGAATTCTCACACTCTCAAAGGTCTTTCCATTTGAAAACCTCCACCTTTACATTCAAAAGCCTACGCTCATCCAAGACTTTAGCTGGTTGCACTTGTAGCTCCATAGAATTTGACAAGCATTTAAGGAATTCCAAAACATGGGTGGTAGGGTTGACAACTTTCTCAAGCTGTTATACATGAAAAGTAAGACGAACTCTATTATAGTTAAGAAGCTGCAGGTTGTAAGCAACAGTTCCCACCTTAATCATTTCAAAAGGATCATAAAATATATTAAAGAACATTGTTGTCATTACATCGTCTTCAGCGTGCCTCAATGGAATGGAAAGCTTCTCGAAACATTTTGTGTAATCTGCTATTGATCTGTCTTGTTGCAAGCAGATGAGTGCTTCATATGGTCTCTTCACTGTTGAATTATGAAATCTTTGCAACAGAGCCATTACGAAGATTTCCCAATCTATTGTGGGATGGGATTTCTAGGTTCCCACCATTGAAACCATCGTAGAGCTCATCTCTAAAAGCAAATAGATGCCAACTCCACCTAGTCTCATCGGTTACCTTCATTTCCTTCTTCAACTGAATATAATAATACCCTTTTCGCTCATTTTTGGTGACCTATGGAGGTCTGCCCCAATTCCATCCTCACAAGGCTTTTATGTAAATATGATATAAAATATAAGACCATTAATGTATTTTCAACTAACAACTTAATTTTTGGATTGAAATGATTCTTTACATGATATTAGAAATGGTCACGAGTTCGATCTTTACCGCTTTCATTCTATCAATAAATGATTAAATATTGTGGAGTTTCTTAGCGTAGGCATGTGGACCTGTAAATTGTCCACACTTCATACCCAATGCCCTCTCGTGTGAGTGGTCATTGTTGGAAAATGTTGTAAATAGTCAAAAGGTTATTGAGTGTTGGAACCCAGAAAAATACAACAGTGATTTCATTAACAATGGAGGCATAGCCTCGTTTTACATACACTTAATACAAGAGAAAATAAACCCAAATTACCTCAACTCTCCTTTAGAACCAACTACCCAAGGCTCCAAAAGTTCCTTGAGATCCTTCCCCAAATTCCACTGTAAATTCACTTCATACATGCCTCCTGACACATCATCATAAACATCTATATATACTAATCCTAATTAATGTTAACTAATGGGCTTGGATATTTATTGAAGGCCCATCAATACTCCCCCTCCCAAAATTCACCTTGTCCTCAAGGTGAAGGAAGAGGACAGATAATGTGAGAGAACTTCCACAAGATCCCATTGCTTAAAGCTTATTGACCCAATTGGCCATTGGCCACGAAGCGATGGACCTATTACCGCTCGAACTATCAATTTAGCAGTGAGGTTCACCATGTAATATATAACTTCTACTGCAGCATTAACCTCAAACAGGGATAGATCACTTCCACCAATTCTGTTTCATACAATTTCAGTAGCTTTTTCTATATCAATTCTGTTCCACAAGGGTGACTTAATAACATTTAATGCAGTATCCCCTGCCCTTGTTTTCCTAATTGCAATTTCTTTACCCACAAGTGAAGAACTTGCATTTGTCATTCTAGCTTGGACATCGGCCAATTCAACTTTCACCAATTCTGGTATTGTAATAATATAAAAAATGCCACAAATACCTTGTTGCAAAATATCGTCAGCCAAATTAAATTCTTTAGTTATAGGGGTAGATTGAGAAGCTATAGTCAACAACTTGTCATGTGGAATAACTATCAGCATATCAACATTATCCCTTAAGGCTGCAATTCCTTCATGCGCTTGAACAACCTTTCGTCCTTCAAATAAGAAAGGGGTTATGACAACACCAACGGTCGGTATACCCATTCCAGCCTGTTCTGGCGTTAATCTTCTTAATCGCAACCCATGGCAGCCATCAAAATGGTTCTGCGCTGCTGTCACAACATCGTGCATCACGCTACAACCCTCCTTGCGAAAAGCCCTTTCATGTTGGCTAGGGTTGCTGCCTCCCTCACTTGGAATAGATTGATCTGGACCCCCAACTTGTTGAGTTCCACAGTGGCCTCTCAAATTGGGCCCATTTTGACCAGACCTAGTAAACGTATTAAGCACACTTTGGTTTTCCTTGTTTTCCAACTTGGGTTAGCCCAAATACCCACTTTCAGATTCAATTCCCACCCTACCTGTTCCCAGAATTGTATGACCAAGAACCATCGTTTTTTCTTCTCCAATTTCTTTTTCATCTGTCAGCGTGTGGAGACGAACTTCCGCCATAATGGTCACCCTTTCTCCAAGTATGTCTTGATCTTGTTCTTCTCCATTCTTTTCTTCTTGTTCTTGTTGCACCTCAACATCTTCTTCCTCCTCTTGATCTTCTTCATCTTCGTGCACTTCTTCTGCAATTTGTTCTGATCAGTCATCTTTGGTTTCTTTTTCTGAGTTTCGATTTTCTCTCTCTTCAACAGCTGAGCCTTCCATCTTTTTCCTTTGCTTCTACTTTCATTAGTGCTTCTCGCTTTGCTTCTAGATCATCTGCAAAACCCTGATCGATGCGGTCTATTAATGTTAGAATGGTTTCCTGAAGTTGACGAAAAGTGTCTTCAACTCCATCAATTCTTTCTTCCAAATGATCAAAGCACCTCTCAACCATAGTAGTTAAAAGCGCCGCTACCCGCAACGTTTGCAGGTTGCGGTGGTCGACCGCGAGAAAAAGCTCCGCACCGCATCGGAAAGGGA